ACGAGCAGTCCTCATGGCGAATAACTCACATGAAACCACCACTGCAAAGAGTACCATTTCCAAATGGTGCTAACACTGTATGAATCCCAAAGGGGGCTTCAGTACAAAATAAGCTCATATTTGACTTAGGGGACACCAACACTGTTCGTTAACTCCCTGGGCTAAGGCTCATGCATCTTTGTCTTTCTGATTTTTGCCCTTTCTCTCTCCCCTTGCCCACCAACAAGCCAAAACTTCAAGTTCAGCACTAGGACCTGGCAAGTCAAGAGCCACCATCCTGCATCCTCAACCAGAGAAAGACAAACCGGCAAAATCAAGGACACGACAACAATGAGGACGATCACCTGGGTGACCTGAATCCTGCTTAGCAATTCCGGCGCCATGAGCCAAGCAACAAAATTCTCACTTACCCTCTTTTGATCTTCCAGTCCGTGGGTAACCAGTTTTCTCTTCTGCTGCTGGCTGGACTCAGAAGCCGATTCCATTTCCCAGGAATAAAATCCCCTCTCTTCTTCAGCAGTGCTTCCAAATCCACAGTGGAATAAAAGCACCCAGGCAAAAATGATGCATGCAGGCGGCCAGACACGGTTCCTGCCAGCCGAGGAAATCCACACGACCTTCTCAAAGGTCTCCCCAGCTTCTTAAAACCCACTCGGGGACCTCTCTTGCCATCGCTGCCTTAGCAAGGAGGGCGGCTGCTCCGGCATCGTGAGAGCTGGGACTTGGGACTTTTACTTCAGTTCCAGTGCTGGCTTCCTGAGTGCCCAGAGGACAGATCTGGGCAGAGACGAGTCCATATCCTGGGGCACGTGCCACATCACTGCCCCAGAAATCCTTTCCCTCACTGTCTCCTTGGCACCGATAATTTATATGTCAATAACAATGTAAATGGGCATTTAATCCACTGAGCTGATAGCACCCACATCCCTCTCCGGCAGCCCCCGACTCCCATAAATCACCACAAAGCTGCTCGCAAAGCCTCCCCTCACAGTTCTTGCGAGTGCTCATCACCGAGGCTGCTCCCTTCCCGGGCTGTTCATCTTCCTCCGTGGAGTAAGACCCATACCTGAGGAGAAAAGGTTCAACGGTCAGAATCACCTTGTGCAGAGGAGGACAAGTGTGAGCTTCCTTGCCCACCATCTGAAGTCCACACCCAGCAGCCAGCAGTGATCTTCCTCTGAGCCTCGCCATCCTCCGAGCACATCCCTGGACGAGCACCTGGGGGCCGCCTGGGTTCCCCACTCCCGCTGGGAAAAGACACAGAAGACCCTGTTCTCCAAACACGCACACCGGAGACAGAAATGAATTCTTTCTCCAACCTATGTGGGGTGCACCGTCATCGTAGGAATAAAGCACCCAGATATGATAAGACAGGGAAGCAATGGTCTGTGAAGCAAAAAGGCATCAACATTTCTCCCCTAATTGCAGCTGCGGAGGCAGCGTGTGGCAGGCGAGACAACGGGGTCCAATGGGGAACTGAAAAGAGCAGTCTAGATCATCCGAAGGCGGCAAGGCGACTGTGCCCCAGAGCCGCGCTCCCTGCCTCGGAACCTGCAGGCAGAGAAGGCACCCAGTCACCTCCAGGCTGACGTCACAGAGCTCAGAGGGACAGGGAGGGAGGGAGGAGAGGAGGGACCTCCGCACCAAGGAAAGCATTTTGCATGGGATGCTCCTTCCATGAACATCTAAGGGGAGGGAACATATTGGAGAATCCCCACGAAGAAGCACCAATAAATAACTATGAATGCCTTTTCCCATAGCACCAGCACCACCAGGAAAGAAATTTAAAAAGCGGGGGGGGGGGGGGAGTTCTTACCAAAAGGCACTCATCTCTTGCCAGCATTTCTAATCAACGCACTAGCCAGTCTACAATTCAGGCTGCGCCAGCCTCCGGGAGAACTGTGGCCAGATCCGGCCGCAGCGGGATCAGACAGAAGCCCTCAGACCCTCCCTTGCAGCTGTCCTGACCGGTGGCTACTTTGGAATGAGGCCGAAGCCACCCTCTGTCACAAAAGGCTTCCGCACGGCTCAGCGCCAAAGCAGGTTAAAAGGCAAATGAGACACTCAGACGTGGAGGGCTTTCAAGGAGGAAGAGGACAGCTTCTTCTGAAAGAGAACCTACAGAAAGGTTGAAGGCTTGTCCTATACCACCTGAAACACTCAGCAAGAGCAGATTTCTCCCAGTGAATGCCCAAGTCAAAAATGTTCTGAATTTGGCAAGAATCCATTCATGAGAGCTTAATGTATCCAAAAGACAAGCATCTCACACACGCACGGGTGTCAGAACTAAGAAGCCCTCTGCTGGCCTAGGAAATAGCTGAGCTTCCAGAGAAAGCCCTCTGGTTGCCCACCACCATCTCCACAACCCCTTCAAGGGATCCCTGACAGAGGTGAAACCTTTCAGATTCTATTCTTTTTAGCTCCAGATCACAATGCAAAAACTCTTGCAAATGGGCTCTGAGTATTATTACCCTTTTCTGAACCTAAACTGAGACCTCAAACTAGAGGACTCAGCCAGATCTAGGTTTGAATCTCAACTTTGAAACTTCATTCACTGTGTGACTCTGAGCAAGGAACTTAAGCTCTCCGGGTCTCAGTGTTCTCATCTGTAAAGTGGGGATAACGACAGAACATGGGAGTGGGAAGGTCAGAATCCCCTATTGACAGGGTAGGTGATGGAAAGCTAAAGTGTGCTGAATGCTTGCTCTATGTCAGGAGCCCTCTTCTGCTTTACATATTCATTCATTCAACAAATCTCTGTGTCAATTATCTTGCTCCAAGGTCCTTGGCTTCCCTGGTGGCTCAGCTGGTAAAGAATCCGCCTGCAATGTGGGAGACCTGGGTTCAATCCCTGGGTTGGGAAGATCCCCTGGAGAAGGGAAAGGCTACCCACTCCAGTATTCTGGCCTAGAGAATTCCATGGACTGTATAGCCCACGGGGTCACAAAGAGTCAGACACGACTGAGGGACTTTCACTTTCAGCCTTGGGTTAGAGATGAGACAACTGCTGGGGAGAAGGGAAGTAACCTGCCGAAAGTCATACAGCTAGAAAGTAGTGGGGCTGGGAAGTGAACCCATGTCTAAGTGCAAAATCCTTGCTCATAGCCGCGCCTCTCTGGCAGGATTGCTGTTAGCTGGCTTTTCACAAGCGGCCTGAGTCCAGAGGTCACACTTCTCACTGCTTCTGGCTCTCTTCATGAATAATAATAAAAGAAAAAAAGGCCCCGCCCAAAGGGTCTCCTACTTGGACAGGCCTTCTCCAGGGGGGCCGCGCGTCCTCAGCCCTTGTTTCTGAGAACAGCTCTGGGCTGTTCTCCCGGGTGAGACCCTGTCACATCCCATCATGCCAGCCGGTGCACACGCCCCAAGTGCACATGGGCACAGACATCCTCGCCACAGAAAAACCTCCCCGTCGGTGGGGAGTGGGAGGATGTTCAATACCTCCTGTGAGCCTTTTTTTTTTCCTCCTGGGAGCTGGTCTCCACCAGTTCTGGGGCTGTCACTGTCCTTGTGTTAGAGCCAGGGTAGGGAGGGGATACCCGAGAAAGGGGAGAAGCGAGGATGCTGCTCTCGGCTGGCCGCCACGTCCAATCAGTCTCCTGATGGGGGAAGACTTCATGAGAGCAAACCCTGATGTACAAGCTCTGATTTCTTACTGCCCAAAGAAACCTCAGGAAGTTTTCAAACATACTTGAATTAAAAAAAGAGAGAGAGAGTGAGCTGAAAGGCAGGACTAACGGGCCATTTCACCGGATGGTTGAGAAGTCGATATGTTTGCTGGATTGATCCCTAAATGCAGAAACATGGCAGCAGCTTCTCCTCTCTGTTCCCTAAGTCAGCCAGGTGAAGTGCAAGGGAAAGGGAAGGAAGAAAACTGGACCATAAGAGGGATCGGGAAGCATCATACGCAAGCTCAGCTCCTCATTGAAGTCCAGAAGACAAGACCAGCCATCCTGAAGACATCCCAAACACACTGCCAGGGCTTCCTCCTGCTTAGTCAAACACAGTCTCTGAAAGCCTTCAACATCCCACTCCACATACACCCAATCCCCTCTGCCTTCTGGGTAACCCCCAGGAGAAAGTTTTCTAAAGACTGGTTTGGAGGCACAACCCAGGACTTGGGGAGCCAAACCAGGGTCTAGCCTCCGATGCAGAGGCATCCTTTCAAAAAACCCAGGGAGGTGTCACTCACCAGGAAATGCCAATTTGGAATGCCAGGTGCCAGGCAAGCCACAGGCCAATCCCTCCCACATACAACACACTCCTTCCTTCTGCCTGGGTGCTGGCATTGTGGACCCATTTCATACGTTTTGGTAAAGCATCCTTCTTTTCCTCCGAAGTTTTCAAAATTGGGCATAGCCCCTTTGGCTTTCTCTTCACCCCTTCCCTCTCCCCAGTTGCTCCTGCCCCCAGATGGCTCCAAGATTGGGGAAACTGGTTTTAAACCTGGATTAAAGGTTAGTGGGGTGAGAAAGGGCAGCCTGACCTATTTCATCTTCTAACTGGAGTTAGGCTTCTGAAACAAGGGTGCATTGCCTCTGGAATGGTCTAATTAACACTCACCACCAACACAGCATTTTTAATTAGTCTTTGATGCCAATAGGGGAAACGGAGGAGCTTCTTGGCAATCAAAACTTTCATTAATCAATCAATAAATAAGTTACATAAGATGTAAGAAAGAGAGCCAAGAAGGCATGGTGGTTTCCGGGCTGGTTTTTTAAAATTATTATTATTATTTGGGGGCGCCTTTTTTTTTTTTAATGCAACCAAAGGGAGCCCAGCCAAGTCGGCCACTTTGCTAAGCTGTTGAGGGCTGACCCAGCCGCCAACCCCGGAGCCTTTATTTGCGCGCGACTAGGGAGTGGAGCGTGCTCCCGCCTCTTCCCTGAAGAAAAGAAAGGATCGCACACAAAAATAAGTCACTAGGGCCCCAGCTGGGCGGCGCGGGCTGCTGCTGCCACCACCACCAGGGTTCCTTTGCCGGCAAGAAAGGAGCCAGCTCAGCGGAGCGCACACCCGGGAGGCGCCTTGGCTCCCAGCGCTGGGGCGCCCCCTCCCCGCCCGCTGCCCACGCCCTCGCCCTCGCCGCCGCCGGCTGCTACCCCGAGCGTGGGAGAGAGCGCCAGGGAAACCGGAGGCCTGGCCTCCCCTACCGGGCTTCGATCCACCTACACACACACACACACACACACACGGATATGGACAGACACAGAAAAGAGACTCAGACATAGTCTAACACAGGCATAGCAGACACTCGCAGAGGTCCAGACATACACGCAGACTCACACACACACACACACACACCTACCGAAGCTCAGATCACACACACAAGGGTGCACACCCACCCAGAGAGGGACACGCGCAGACAGGTACTAGACATGCAGAGGCAGAGGGGTCTATAAAACAGAGGCACAGACAGAAAACACGCACACACACGCAAGATACACAGACAGGCACACAGAGGAAAGAGACACACACAAAACCCGAAAATACATGGAGATGATGACAGAGGGATCCACACACAGCGATACTCAGACAGAAGCACCCGGAGAGGGCGTTCAAAGACACCCACGCCGAGAGCACACACAGAGCGGCCCAGACGTGAGGATACACCCAGAGATCCAATCACGCCAAGGGGGGAACCACGCACAGAAACACACACAGAGAAGACATCAGAAACACAAGAACACGCACAAGAAGATACACCCAGCCTCAGGCACGCACACCCAGAGGGACACACACCCACTCCGCATGGGGGCGTAGGCAGCGTAGCCGGAGGCCGGGGAAAGTGCTCCTGGAGCTCGCTCGCAGAACCGCCTCGGACGGAGCACCTCGCCGTGCGCCCCAGCCAGCATCTGCCGGATAAGACTTTGCCAGCACATCTCTGAACAAGGGACCGCCGGCCGTCTGCGTCCGCCGGCCGGGTCTCCGTGCTGCAACCACGGGTCCAAGGAGGCCTGGGTCCTCCGACAGGGTCCCGGAGTGGAGGTGTGGCCCCCACGCCGCTCCGCGCGGGGCCAGCCCTCTCGCTGCCGGCAGTCCCCGCCCTTCCCGGCCCCCGGAGCCTAGCACAGAGCATCCCCAAGTCCTCTCCTTCCCGCTCGTCCCGTTGCGCGGCAAACTTTCGCCCGGCAGGTCCAGGCGCGGGCAGCCTGGTCCAGTCCGGCCCCCGAGGGATGGCGCGGGAGCTCCTACCTGCGCCCACGCGGCTTGGCGGAGCCGCCGCCTCCAGCCGGTCTCTCACCGCGCTCCGGCCCGCGCTTCTCAGTCGCGGCCGCTGCCGCTGCAGCCGCTCCTTGCCCTCCCGTTACCCGGGAAACCGCCTCCCTCCCTCCCGCCAACCAACCAGCACCGTTCACATGGCGCCTCTAGGCCAATGGGTGATCTCGGAATTCCGGTCCTCTTCCAGGGTCCGGAGCCCCTTCCCAGGCTAAGGGACCAGACCCAGAGGCAGGGCTCTCATTAGAGCTGCTGCTACTAAAAGGTGGGGTCCCCGGGGCCAGAGAGAGTCATCTGGTTTCTCCGCGGGGACCATTCTTCTGTGGGACATAGTACCTGGCACTTTTAGAAACGGTCACAAGACTGGAGAACTTGCAGTGTGAAAATGCCCAGGGCACCTACTTCATTCAGCCTTCCACTAAAACCAGAATTCCTTCAGACAGGGAGCTGTCCGGCCTTGAGCACCTCTCTGGATGGAGCGCGCGCCTTCTCCCAAGGCAATGCTTAATGCCTTCTTCCTTTTGGAGCTGTAACTAGGAGCAAGTTCTTTCCAACACAGAACTGATCCTGCCCCCTGACCAAGACCCGGGTCTGCTCTCTTGGACCTGCAGGAAAAAAAGGTTCCCCGGCTACCTAACAGGCCTTCAGAAACTAGACCACACATCCTGTTCCCCAGGTGACCCTTCTTCAGGAGACTCTCCATTCATCTTTCTTCTTTTCCCAGAGCCATTTTGAAATAAGAGAGGCTCATGCTCATCCCTGCCCCTCCACCCCTCTTTCAGGTGTCAGTCTGGGGTACAATGCCCAAGTGGGAGGAATCTCAGCATCCTAGCACTATTGCAAAACGGACCGGAAGTGGAGAAAATGAACATTTTCTCATCTCTTAAACCCAGGTCAGTTCCCCAAATATGGAGTAAGAGGAGAGACAGGCATGTCCAGAAAGCAGACTAGGGTGGTCACCTCCATCTCTGAAAACCTCTTATTTCCTATTTAATCCTCCAATCAAAACTTGCTCCTTCATATGGGCATCCAAGATGAGAAGGCATGGAGTCCACTGGTTCTGGCAGGAGAGTGGCCTGGCCCTTCCAAAGCATGGATGCCCCCAGGCTGCAGGCCTGTCTACAGTCACAAGCAGGTTTTGCTGCACCACCTCTGGTGAGGACCATGTGGGCCCAGCATTCTCAGGGTGCTGTAGACCCAGAGCTCAGTGCACAGGCTGAAGCAGAAGGTAAGTCCTGCTGCTGGGTCCCTGTTCGAGGTCTGGGAGGAGATTCCGGCTCAGGAACAGGGTGGCACTCCCCAGGTGTGGTGGTAAGAAGGGGGTGGAAGCCTCCTATTGAGAGCAGAGTGCCCAGCTGCAAGATGACAGGGGTGAGGCCGTTGCAGCTGAGATGGAATGGCACCTAGGGCTCCTGGTCCCTCCAACAGAGGCACACATTACATGCCTGGATCCTTCCCCAGCGGGGTCCATTGAGAATGGTCACAAGACAGAACTGAAAAATGAAAACTGTGCCACTTTCTTAGCCAATTCCTGTGGGTTTCTCTGAGGTCATACAAGGAATACGACCAGCAGGGGAATGATAGGAAAGTAACACTGTATACCCAGTTGTAGGGAGTATGATGGTCAGAAGAACACACAGGTCTGAGCCAGACAGCTGGGGCTGGAATCTTCTCTCTGCTATTTATCAGCTATACAATCTTATCTCTGAATCTCCATTTCCTCAACTATAAAACAGAAAAGTTATTATTCCTCCTGACAGAGAAGTTCTGAGGATCAGGTGTGATCATAGGTGAGTATATGCTTTGTAAGCAAGAATGTACCTTGCAAAAGAGAAGGGCTTTTACAATAAACCTAGTTTTCCCATGTGATATTTAATTTTATGTGTCAGCTTGGCTAGACTACGGTACCCAGTTTTTGGTCAGATACCACTCTAGATGTTGCTACAAAATGATTATTAACATTTAAATCAGAAGACTTTGAACAAAACAGGTCACCTTCTCTACTGTAGATGGGCCTCATCCACATTCATTTAATCAAAGACCTTAAAAGAAAAGACTGAGGTCCCCCTAAGGAAAAAGGAACTCTGCCTCCAGATTAGCTCTGGACTCACAACTGCAACATCAACTCTTCCCTGGCTCTCCAGCCTGCCATCCTGCCCTCCAGATTTTGAATTGGAAAGACACCTACAAATACATGAGCCAATTCCTTCAAACAAATCCATATCTATCAGAAAGGAGAAGAGAAAGAACTATATAATGCAGACAGATACATAAATATACACATATCCTGTTGGTCCTGTTTCTCTGGAGAACTGTAACTAATACAGCCCCTCCCTAGAATGATGAGAGTTTGCCAGGCAAATCCAAAGAGAGCAAACAACCAAGTAGCCGGATTTGTAGCCTGATCATAAGCCAACAAGTTGTTGATGTGTTTCCCCAAGTCTGGGTCAAGTAGGCTTTGACTTATTTTCACAGATGGTTTTGATCCACCAGTCTACACAACAGCCTTTCACCTACTAGAGGTGGACATCTGGGGGAACATTTTTCTAAACTAGCTCCCTTTCTCTCCTGCCACCATGCCTGCTACCCAGTCCCCACCTGCATACTAGGATCCAAGAGGATAGAGTTGGTTTTAGGGAGATTCTGTCTGACCAACCTCCCTCTCTCTCTTACACAGATGCACACACACACACACACGCTGGAATCCCAAATGAGAGTTGCAGCAAATGCCTTAACAACTTCTACCAATTGCAAGACCATTTTTGCCTTTATTAAGAATACACAAAGTTTAAAAAATTACATCTAGTCACCCATTTAGGGTCCTAACCCCAAATCTGCCCCATCACCTGAGGAGGGAGTTATTTCTATTTCACCAATGCAGAAAAATAGGAACCGCAGTATAACCGGGTCTCCCAGGGACTAGAACTGCAAGCCTAGGGACCCAGCTGCTCCCCTGACACCTTCAGGAAGAGGCTGCCTCTTCTTTTGTCTCCCTTTTTGCTCACTCACCTTCCTGGTGGCCTAACACGGCTGCCAGTCCCAGTGTCTCTATCGGGATCTCTCAGTGCAATACCCTCTGGGACTTTGTTCAAATTCTCATGACAGAATCTCACTGGTCACTGACCTTTGGGTCAGATCAGAAGTCAATCAGCTGTAGCAAATGCAAAAGAAATCTTTCAATCATTGGACAATGTCAGACATTTGCAGCAAACAGTGAGAGGAGGACATGCCGAGGTACTTACTTAACTCAGCTTCTGAGTCCTAATGCTGACCTCCTGCACCCCTATTTGCTTGTCTTCAAGAGTGCCCACATTGCCCTCTCTGGCAAGAGCTATGGAACCCCTGGACAAATGACTTATGAGGCTCTTTTGGAAATTAAAATAGGTTCTATTTTTCTATAAATTGAGTGATACCTTTCATCCAGTTTCAAGAAGACTCTGGTCTTAGGCCTCGAGTAAGCAGGCAGGCCTGGTAGATTCATTGCAGACAGTCTTAACATGTGTGACATCAGACAGAGGTGGCATCTTAGGTCTTGTGTCTTTCGTTGTCTGTGAATTGAACACAGGGCCACTTGGCCAGCAAAGTGGTAAAGAAGTTGGAAAATGTCCCTTTCCACCTTATCTTTTTGGATTGGTGAACTTTCATTATCTTTGGGGACCCAGTTCTAAGAATTTTCCCCTAAAGCCCTGGTCAGAATTGGTTGTTCTCTTTTTGGGCATCTCATAGCACTTTGTACTCTTCTCTTTTCTAGCGTCTCCCACACTGCACCATAATCACTCCTTTTCACATTTTTCTCCCTAACTAATCATTCGTGCATTCATCCTTTACTCAATCCTGCAACAGATTTTATTGCCAATAAAGATTCTGAGATAAAGCAGTGAACAAAGCAGGAAAAGTCCTCGCTCTTATGGTGAGAGAGGAAGAAGATGGAAAAGAAAGGAACATTTAGTCGAGGTTACTTGAGAAAATCATTAGGCCTCTATGGGGAATAAAAATAGGATGGTGTAACAGAGAATGACTAGGTGGGTAGCAGTAGGTGACTTCTTTGAGAAGAAATTTAAACTGAGATCTGAGTTATAAGAACGATACAGCCACACAAGGATCAGGAGGAAGAACATTCCAGACAGAGGCAGCTCCTAGTGCAAAGGCCATGAGGCAGATGGCAAAGTAACCAGCATGGCGCGTTCATGGGGCAAAGAGAAGGTTAGGGTGACTAGAGCAGAGTGCTCACAGCCGTCCAGGGAGAAAAACAGGCCTCGGGGGGTAGCAGGAACAGGGAAGCATCCACCCCTCTTTTCTGTACCTCTGCATGATACCAGCTTGACCCTCACCCACCATATTCCCCTTTTTCTGAGTGAAAGTGAAAGGCTGAAGTGAAAGTTTAGTCGCTCAGTTGTATCTGACTCTTTGTGACCCCATAGATTGTAGGCTACCAGGCTCCTCCCATGGGATTTTCCAGGCAAGAGTACTGGAGTGGGCTGCCATTTCCTTCTCCAGAGGATCTTCCTGACCTGGGGATTGAACCTGGGTCTCCCACATTGTAGGCAGACACTTTACCATCTGAGCCACCAGGGAAGTCCCTTTTTCTGAGACTTAGCTCAATTTGTCTCTTCCAACATAGCAAACTAATCTCACTCTATGCTCCTTCACCTCGTCCTTTCCC